TTTGTAACGCTATAACTTTATTAACTATTGAATAAAGTTACTTTCAAGCAAATAGATAGCAAGCGAATCTGAAAATGATACAAACACAATATATAGGGAACTATCTCGAGAACTAATCATTTTTTTCCATTATACCCTCATAATATTTTTTACGTGGAACGAACAGTGGAATCGATCTGTGCAATAAAAAACATGCATTTCCATTTAAAGAAATGATGCAATTCTTAATTGCACATGCACCGATGCACTAAAAAAAAAATCCTATGGATGTAGTGCTCTTCGAAAACGTTTGTCTCTCACCTTCGGCATTTTTTTGTAAATATTATACATTAATAACAGAGTTGCGATCTGAAACAATTGCGTGGACCACCCTGTTCACAGATTTATTAGAAAAATCATTTGCAAAACGCGAAATGATTTACCCCAACCAACAACATGTATACAGTCGCGCACAAAAGTGTCCGTACACCTTTTAAAACACGATAATTATCTTAAAACTGAACTAAATGACTCGAATTTTTTTTAGATGATAGAGGAACTAGTCTACTAAACGATCACTGAAATGATTTTCTTTTAAATTTTGCTATTACTTGGAATGACAAAAAAGTGAAGATCTCTCGTTTTTTAACTTTTTTATCTGAGCCTATAACGAAAATTTAAAAAATGTTTTTCGTAGATCTCGGTAACTTATATGCATGTTGAAAATTTTATCGAAATCGATTTACGTTATTATGAGCTACAACAAATTAAAGATCACAAAAATCGCAGTTTTATCACAATTTTGACGAAAAACTGTATAAAATTTGCAGGTTTTAAAATCCTTGAACGCCTGTAACTCGACTCTAGGTTAACCGATTTCGATCAAATTTTCAGCACACATATAAGTTGCCGAGACCTACGAGAGGCATTTTTTGAATTTTCATTATAGGCTCAGATAAAAAAATTAAAAAACGAGAGTTTTTAATTTTTTCTTTTCATTCCAAGTAGTAACAAAATTTAAAAAAAACTTTATACTCATCGTTTAGTAGACTAGTCCCTCTATCATCTAAAAAAATTCAAGTCATTTAGTTCTGTTTTGAAAAAGTTATTGCATTTTAAAAGGTGTACGAACACTTTTATGGGCCACTGTATGTGTTTGTCCACCTTGCTCGTTCACACATCATCTACTGGCGATGATATTATAATTGCTTTACATTAAGAAACTTTTTAATGAATTGCTCGATGGGAATAGCAACTTTCAGTCGTGTACCAACGAATCGCTCGATGTAGCATGATCCGACGACTTCGTTCAAGATTATCAGACGAAAAAAGTACTTCAAGCTTAACTATCAGTGTCGCACAGTAATCGAAAGTCCTGTCGATAGGCTTCCGGTGCGTAAAGTGTTAAACAGAAACGGTGGAAATCGAGTACCGAGCCGATCGATACTTACGAAAATAAATCATGCCGGACTGTTTAACAACGTGGCACTATCGATATCTATTCCGTATTGCACATTTACGAGTGTTTTCGCGGCGGTGCTCCCGGTTCTCTCTTATTCCCGCGTTTATTATTACGCGCGAAGAACGCGAGAGAGTGCCGCGAACTATTTATACGTCGTGCATCGACGTTTTGACGCGCCGAGAGGAGCATTATTAACAAATTATACGTGTCAGATGTGCAAAGGTGAAGTCGAAAGCATTCCTATTGCGATCCGTCTTCTTATAAATTCCAGGCTGCGTTCCGCTTTTTTATTCGGCCACGAAGCCTTGGAAGCGCCCACGCGATTCCTACGGTGTGACACCATAGCACGCTTACTATCAGATTTTAGTAGTTCTCGATATTGTCGCGTTCGGTGACAACAAAGTATTCGTACACCTTTTAGCAGGAACTGTACCGAGGTGTGAAAGCGACTAACAAAAATTGCCTTGGAAGAATTGCGAGATAGAGTTTATTCAAATTTTTCACAATTTTTGTCACAGTGTGTGCCTGAATAAAGAAATATATTAAACAATTTTTAATCGGAGCAGCTTTGTCACTTCGATAATCATGAAATCAACTATTACGAAATTAAAAATGTGAAACCGGTCGTTCGACTTGTCGGTGGTGGATTCAGTGTTAAACGGCAATAACTTTATTAAAATTGAAAAAAATGACTTGAATTTAAGAAAAAAAGAATATCTTTTTTAATTTTTCTGTTACTTGGAATGATAAAATAAAAATAAAGGAAACTCTTGTTTTTCACATACACAACATTTTTATCTGAATCTACAGCGAAAATCTAAATTTTTTCAGGTGAAATACAAAACAGTGACGCTATTAGATAAATTTAATCACCGGTTTGCATTATTTACAACTCATTAAAATGATTCAAAATGACAATTCTCACATTCTATTTTGCATTAAAATCCGCAGTCTACTTATAATGCATACTGAAAATTTTATCGGAATCGGTCGACATTACGATTAAGAAGCAATTAATTTACAATTAATTTTACACTTTAACCGATTAATAAAATATTATTAATTAACCGATTTCGATGAAGGTTCAACTGAATTTTCATTATAGGCTCAGACAAAAAGGTCGAAATAACCTCATTTTTTAATTTATTTGTCATCCCAATCAATTGCACTTTTGGAAAGCAATAAACTAATCCACCTAACAAAAAATTCCCAAAAAATTCAGATCGCTTGGCCTAATAAGAAAAAAATTGTTCCGTTCTGTATGTAAAATTTGGTCGGAATCGAAAAATTCTTTGAAGAAGTTAAAGAACGTTCGTTGCAAGCATGCACTGAAAAAGAGTTACAAAAGTGACCAAACTATTAGAATTTTAAGCAGTAAAAACACACAGGGTGTCCCAGCATCGGTGGTACAACCAAGAAGGAGATTCTACACGAGAAAAAAAAATTGAAGATAAGAAATAGAATTTTTTCATTTGAGGCTTCGTTGTCGAGAACATCGACTTTGAATATTTAACGAGTACGCATACTAGTAATTATGGTTTAGATAAATGGATATCGATAGAATTCAAATGTCACCTATTAATGGTATTAATATAATTAGAATTAACACAATGTACTGTGTTACTCATTTCTATGGATTGGGAATGTATTTAAGTGAAAATAAGCTATGTAATTTGGTTACCTAACTTACTTTGTTAATGCAAAAATGGTTGAAAATGCTGAAAATTCAAAATCGATTTTCACGACAACGAAGCCTCAACTGAACAAATTTTATTCTTAATTTTCGATTCGTTTTTTTTATGATGCTGGGACACCCTGTATAATATCGCAGTCGAGTTTCGAAAGTAATGTCGCAATTACTACCCAAGTAAAAATTAGATCTAAGTATGGAAATGACGTAGATAAAATTTGAAGCGAATCGAGCCATATTTGTAGAAGTTATGAAACGTTCGCTGCAAATATTTATCGTAGTACACCGAAACGAGGTCACAAAAGTATTCGGCATCTTCGCAACGTATGTTTCACAACTTCTGTAGAGATTATCCGATCCACTTCACATTCTGTGTATGTACGTATACTAGGTATCTGTGGCTTAAGGTGAATTTAAATCTTTAATAGCGATCGTTCGAGTACCTTTGCGGGCCTGTTTCATTACGTATGTATTTGCTATTGAGGTTTCATAACTTCCACAAACATTATCCCATTCACTTTAAGGTTTGTAACGTTTCGATACGTACTGGCATCTCGCAGTAGTTAAAACATTACTTTGCTGCGCTTAATATTCATAGTTTTTCTGTTCGAAATTTTCAATAGATCCTTCTAAGTTGTTCTTTCACACCATGAAATAAAATGTAGTACCAAAATTGAGAGAATAATTTAACGACGTTTTTTATACTATTCTAACGATCTTGATACGAGTAATTTGTCAAATATTAAATATTAGACATTAGAAATATGTTACAATTATAATATAGCGACAAAATATAGTAACAATTATAATATAGCAACGTCAAAAAAATATTAAAAATTTCACATGTATTTTACAATTATACAGGGTGTCTTGTTTAAGTGATCACAGCAGGATATCTCGGAAGGATTTATAGTTATTAAAAAAATGTTTCTATAAAAGTTGTTTGGTAGGACAGGCTACGACATGTAGTATTATCTGTTTTGTTGTGAGTGGAGTAGTACAGGAGATCTGAAAGTCAATCTAATTTTCTTAAATGGCAGGCTATATTTATTTCTGCAGGAAATAACAGCAGACATTGAGAGAAATCCGATGAGGTGTTATACGTTATTATTCTGAGTTCGGTAAAGGTAAATCGTTAGCTTATGTTTACGTCCTGCATTGGTCGACGACCAACATCCAGCAGCGTCGATTGCGTTTGTATTAAGTTACTGCAATTATGATATTATAAACAGGGATTGAGGATTATTGCTAATGCCATAAATTATCGATCGTAATTTTCACTTACCAGTTGAATAATTTTCTTATCCTTCTACGTGTTCTCCATCATTGAAAATACGCATTTGTAATCATTTTAAAAATTATTGTTACCGGTAACCAAAAATGATCGTAATATATTGATAGAGGGCGAAAACGCAAATCCAACGAGTAGAATGATTGTACACTTTCGATGGTTCAACCTCGAGATACTTGCGCCCGAATGTTGACTACTTAATATTTCAGACGCAAGTATCTCGATGTTAAATGATCGAAAGTATATGTTCATTGCACTCGTTGGATTCGTTTTCGCACGCTCTGTCAGAATATTGATAAAAATATACAGGGTGTCGTATAATAAGTTTTCTCTTTCTTTCTTTTTGTCTTAATCTTCTGCCCGCTACTGTGTATCAGGAAATTAAAGCAATTTGTATCGCCCTTATTAATAACCACAACACCTAATAGCTCATTTTTTTTAATCATTGCATTTTTAAAAATTCTTTTTAAAACTTTGTAATGTAGTCAGCGAATGTGGTTCCTCAGATTTTCTTTATTCAATACAATTATTGTTGGCAGTCGTCGGAATCGTTAACCGGACGTACATGATCTTTCCAGGGGGCACTATGCAGACCGAGGAAGTCGTGTCTCGTGCACAATCATCTGGTATAGACGGTAGCCCGACAGACAGCAGCACGTTGCAGCATCATCTGCATCACTCGACACGTATAAAGTGTCCGTTGCCACCTCTGCTCCATATGGCGGTCAAGCAGGAGCCTCAGGAGGAGGAGGAACGAAGTCGTGACACGAATGCGTTGAGGTGAGCCTACGATTATGCTAATTGACCCTCTTCCCATCTGTTTGGTCCATCTCAGATTCTAAAGTCGCGTGTCCACTTCAGTTAAAGCCTTTCTAACGTCACTGTGGCTCCTTTTGTTGCTCAAGATATTAATTTTCTTAAACGCGTTTAACGAGTTTTTTTTAAAAATAATAATATGAACAGAATTGGTTACAGTGTATGGTACTCTACCTCGTGAATTCATGATTGAAATGCTGTGCATAACGAACCATGAATACAATAGCAATCATGAATTTAAAACGATACATTTTAATTTCAGTCGTACACGCATGTTGTATAACTGTTACTTATTTGTTTAGTCTGTTTCGTTTTAAAATCTATAGATGCATGTTTCACTTTCTCAATCTCAAATACAGAGGTGCGATATTTAATAAAAAATTCTGAAACTTTTCAAATTTGGTGTTCGGAAATAGAAGAATTTCGTAATTGCTTTCGATGTTCTTGTGTAGCGTGAAAAGTCGAGTCCAATGAGTATAATGACTGTACTATTGCGATCATTTAATATACTTCCGTGTAAACGGCGAGCTACTGAATAATTTTTTGATAAATTATTTTCATTTAATTTTAAATAGAACAGCATACAAATTTTTGTAGAGGATGAAAAGGCGAGTCCAACGTATATAATGATTGTATGCTACCAATTATTTAACCTCGAGATACTTGTGTCTGAAAGTTGACTACTTAATATTTCAGGCGCAAGTATCTTGAAGTTAAATAATCGAAAGCATATGTTCATTATACTCGTTATATTCGTCTTCGAATGCTCTGCCAGAATATTGATAACAATATACAGGGTGCCGTATACAAATTTCTATCTTTCTTTTTCTCTTAATATTTCTTGTCGTCTACTGTATATCAGAAAGTTGAAGCAATTTATTGAACCACGGAGAAATGTATTGATAAAGGGACATTGTCAAATTCAAATTAAAAAATGTAAAATGTTTAACATGTCAGTGTGTAGTCAATGTTATCGAAGTCGATACTTGATCTTAGCTATCATGATATAATGCTAGAAATACGTCATTCCATTTAAAAATAACATTGATGACCTTGAAATCTCGAAAAATATGACCTTTAAGAGAAGGACTATTTCCACCGCAAAATGTGTCCCTTCGAACTATACAACCTGTTTCACTACAAATTTTGAATATCATTAATGATAACGGAGATATTGTTTTTTAAGAGCTTTAGTGAATCACTCTGTACATTTAAATCGAAACTTCATTCTTCTGTTATCAGTTTCTAGGAATGAAAGTAAATCTAGATCGCATA